GCGCCTTCACCCGGGACGGCCACATGGCCGACGCGCTGCTGCTGCTCATGCTGTACGGCTGGGCCATCATCCCGCTCATGTACCTGATGAGCTTCCTGTTTGCGAGCCCGGCCACCGCCTACACCCGGCTGACCATATTCAACATCCTGTCCGGCGTGGTCACCTTCCTCATGGTCACCATCATGCGCATCCCAGGTGGGAGCGGACCCCTGAAAGGGCAGGCGTCCAGGAGGCGAAGCCTGGCAGCCCCCGGGTACCCCGGCAGGGACCAGCCCCTCGCCTCCCCCACTGCTGTCCTGGGCCTGACCCTGAGGCGGGTCGCTGCTCCCGGGGCGGCGGGGCGGCTGCTTCCACACCCTGACTGCACTGCGCCCACACTGTGCAGGGGACCCCAGAACCCGCCCTCCTTGATTTGCCTGTCGCTGGGGCGCAGGGGATGTGTCCACCAGCCCTGATGGGTCTGTGCATGCTCCTGCAGCGGTCAAGCTTGAAGAACTTTCCAGAGCCCTGGACCACGTGTTCCTTTTGCTGCCCAACCACTGCCTGGGGCGGGCGGTGAGCAGCTTCTACGAGAACTACGAGACGAGGCGGTACTGCTCCTCGTCGGTGGTGGCGGACCACTACTGCAAGAAACACGGTGCGGCCCCCACCCCCACCCCACCCCCACCGCCCCCTGCTCAGTCCAGTCCTCAGGGTGGTGACCTGGGCCGGGGCTCCCTGGTTTTCCCATTCTGTGCCCACAGTGTGCATCCCAAGCGTAGGCTGGAAAGACCCACTGACTCTATGGGCATCAGCTCGACTGACAAGGTGAAAGGAGGTACATAGGATGCCAAGGCACTGTGTGTCTGGGTTTAAAATGAAACAACAGGATATTTTATTCCTGGTGAAATGTTATTGGTCTTGCTACATTTCTCTGTTTGGTCTCAGGTTATTTTGTTTTGTTTTGTTTTGGACTCGAGTGGCCTATTCATGAAGAAAAGCCTGGGGTACATGGACAGCCTAGAAATGTAATAAAAGTAAAATGAGGTGTTTGGGCTTGAATTCCAGCGACTTCAGAGCAAGACAATTAGGCCCAGCGCTTGGAGGTAGGGCCAGGAGGCTCACCCCAGGGCCAAGTTTAATTAGAGTTGCTCACTATGCTTTGCCCTCCTGGAAACCCTAGCAAGTGGTTTGAAGTCACCAGACAGCAGGAGACCCCAGATTCTTCTGGAAACCTGTCCCCCCTTCCAGCTCTCACCGCCTGTTCAAATGACCGGTCACCCACATCCACGAGGCAGTGGGGTCAGGAGCAAGTGGAGCTTCGGAATTCTTCAGGCTGCAGGGACTCTTATCTCACTTGTCTCTCACTGGTACAGAAGGAAACACTTCTCCTTTCATGTGGGAGCCAACAGTTTAAGGGGTAAAATATATCCATTAAACTTTCTCCCTTCCTTTGGTCTCTTGGTAAGACAGACCTGAGTTTTGATTCTGTCAAAGTGAGAAATTGGCCTTGTTCTGTTAGATCAGAGACGCAGGGGGTTTTCTTTTCTTTCTCTTTCCTGTTATAAGCCCTTAGGGGCACTGACTGTCAAAGAAGGAAGGGATCTGACTCAGGACTGGGGGGAGGGGGACAACTCCTCCAGGAGCATCTTACGGGCCACCCCCACTGCTCCAGAGTCCATCCAGGTGCTGGGTTGCAGTGTGTCCTCCGGCACAACTCTAGGAGGGCCACTCACACCCTCACCCCTGATGGGGCAGAGCCACCCCTGTGGGGTAACAGGAGGCCTGCTTGATGAATACTGAAACTTCGAGCCCTGGGCTATTTCATGGGAGGTGTTACAAGTGATCCTGCTTCTAAATTGCCTGTGACCTTGAGCTGGTAGCCAGCCCTCAGATCTGTGTCTCAGCTCTGCATAAAACCAGGCTTAAGCCAGGTGAGTCCTTTTTCTTAAAACGGATGCTGACACAAGCGGCCTTTCCACGCAAGGCTTCATCTCACTCTCTGGCTGTGCAATAAAACATCGTGCGTTGTTTCTCTTTCCCAAGCACTGAGACGTGTGAAGTTTTTCTTTTCCCTGTTTTTTTGTTTTTATGGCAATGACCACCCAAAAAATATACTTTACAGTATCTTGGAACTGGGGAGCAGGGATGAAAGACACATTTACAGACGTAGTAAAAGGTGAGTGTGGGTGTGCTGAGCACCTGTGATTTACTTGCCGGCATCCGAGTTCTCCTCTGGGTCCCCATCTTGCCATTGGGAGGTACAGTTTGGAGGGACAGTCAACCAAGCTTCCCTACTGCCTTGGCCAGGGGCCGGCAAGTATCCCCCTGTCCCAGGGGGTTGCTCGTGGACCCAGCCCAGCAAGAAGGGCTCCATGTAGGCTATTGTTTCCCTGAGGGAATTGTCTCTTCCTTCCGAGCAGGTCCTGCAGCTCTGCCTTGCTCTCCCCTTCCTCTCCCCTTCCTGAGACTCAGCTGTTCAGCTCTGTCTTCAATTCAGTCTCACCCTCCTCCCTTTGCCAAATCGCAACTTGCATTTCAGTTCCTCAGAGACAGATTGTGTTGCTGGCAACCACTCTGACCCAAAAGGGCATTTTACCTGTCCCTGGGTTTCAGCCTTTTCTAAAACACAGGGAAGAAAGGAAGGGATGACATTGGTGCTTTAAAGTCTTGTTTTGGTTGCAACAAGCTACTTTTTTCTCATTAAATCTAACATGGACCAACTGCCTGAGACAGATGAAAGGGGGAAAGGGCACCCTGGTCCTCTGGCCTGTTTCTCGTCACATGAGCAGTTCTGCTTCTTCAGGGGCCAGGAATCTCAGCTACCATTTCTACTCTTCATCCTTAGATGGGAGGCCTAGGTTGCTTTCATGGAAAGGGGGGAAGAAAAGCAGCATTTTGTGGAAGACCGTCTGTGCCTCAGGCATCTGGGCTTCCTCAAGGTTGCTGTAGTTACCACAAACCTACAAGATGGGCTCTCATATTGGAATATGTTGGAGCCAGGAATCGAGGAGGTTTATCATGCTGCAGAAGAGACAACTCAGGATCAAGCTATTGTCTGGAAGGCTGACAGGTATAAGCAGCAAGGCTGAGTGCAGGTCTATGGTGACTTACCTCAGGGGCAGGCTGCCCATCAGTCTCTGTTGTGGGGCACACACATGTTCCTGTCCTCCTTCCACATATTCAGACCACCGGCAATCAGTGCTCCCCCAGACAACTTTTTCCTATAGGCCTTCTTCTACCTTCACCTCATGCCAAATCTTTCCCTTTCTTTCCACACAGTTCTTTCCCACAATCTTGAATGAAAGAGCAAGGACTGTGTGGAAAGATATACAGTTTAAATATCAACTACCCAGCTTTGCCATCAGGCAGCCTAGGTGAATTCCCACTCACTGCTCAGCAGCTGTGTCACCTTGAGCAAATCACGTGACCTCTCTGTTCTCACCTGGAATATAGGATAACATTATTTAGGATATAGAGAATAATGGGCCCAAAGACGTCTGCATCCTAATCCCTGGAATGTGCATTATGTTACATTATATGGCAAAGGGAAAGTAAATTCCTAATCATCTGACTTTAAAGTAAAGAGATTGCTCTGGATTATTTAGGGGGGCCCAATGTGATCAAAGGGTCTTGAAATGTGTAATACAGAAAGCCAATGTCACAGTGATACGACGTGGAATAGACCTGTCATTACTGGCTTTTAAAATGGAGGCAGGGGCCCTCCCTGGTGGCGCAGCGGGTTAAAGCACTGCACTAAGAAGCTGAAGCCACTTCCGCATGAGTTCGATTCCCGCCTGCCCCGGAGGTGACCACATGGCGTGGCAGACCTCTCCTGACCCGCCCGCTGCTCCCCTCAGCAGTGTACTTCGTCGATCTGCCTGTTCTGCTCCCCACTCTGTCTCTGGTGAAGCCTCTCGCCGCCCCTGCACCTCTGGCCTGTACCCCAGTTCTGTATGCATAAACAAATAAATCTTTAAAATAAAATAAAATGGAGGCAGGACTGTGAACCAATGGATGTGAGCAGCCTCTGCAAGATAGAAAAGGCCAGAAAATGAATCTTCCCCTAAGTTTCCAGAAAAATATGTAGCCCTGCTGGCACCTTCATTTTAGCTCTGGGAGACCCATTTCAAATTCCTGACTTGCAGAACTTTAAGAAAATAAAAAGTGTGCTCTTTTAAGCCATTCATTTTGTGATAATTTGTTACAGCAGCAATAGGAAATTAATATGCTATCTCCTGGGGTGGTTGCGAGGATCACAGGAGGTGCTGCTGGACGCATAGGGGTCCACTGAGGCTGGCTCTCCTGTGGCTGCTGTGCAGAGGTGGGAGCTGCTGAGAACAGTGGCACACTGTGCCCGGGTTTCCTCTGACTGCTCCTGTCCACCTCCCACCCTAAACAGAGAGCCCTGCACCTTCACGCCTAAATTAGTTTGGACGCTTCTTTATAATCACATACCCGATGCCTCCCTTCATCATGCTGAATTCTAAATTGCACTTGAAGTAGCTTATTCAATGTTAGCCTTCTGATTAGCTTCTCTCCAAGCTCTAAAATGAGGGTAATCAGAGTGGGGGAAAGATCTCACTGAGTGCCCTGGGAAGGAGGAGAGGGCAGGGAATCTCTCCATTGTAATTTTCTAATAAGTGTTTAAGAGCTTTTAAGGAGCTGGCTTATGTTACTCTGCAGGTCTGTAGTCACCCCTTCACCCCCATTCCTCCAATTAACCCAGGTTCTCAGACTCACCCTTCCAGGGAGTGACCACAGTCACTCTTAGCACCTTCTCTCTCTGTTTTCTCCTCCTCTGAAATTGTACTTTGTTCTTGAAGGTAGGAAAGAGACTATGACTCAGTCCTCAGCTGGATTGAATTGTCCCCAAAGATCTAGATCAGTCTAACACAAATTCTCCAATTGCATGGCCCATGAACCCCAAAGATCTGCAAGATCTCTGAGAATTTCCAAGTGGGTCTGGCTTTCCTGTGGTTACATCTGCCCAGAGGAAGATATAGGAGAATTCCAGTGAAGAGTGTCACTCACTTGTGGGAGGCATTAACAAAGATTTCACGTGAACATGAGGTTTTGTAAACTTTTCAGTTTGGTATTTTTGATCTTCTTGTTCTTTGAGAGGATCCATGAAATTTGGATCTACTCTTACATCTAACCCCCTGTATCTTTGCCAAAGGTCACTCGTCCCCACAGGAGACTCAGTCCTTTGTTTCTTACTAAAAGACACCGCTATTGAGCCTAGTAGATAAAGAGGATTTGCAGCACCTGAGGTTAGGAGAGTATCCTTTCTTCACCACTCTGGGGACACAGTGTCACAGGCCGCATCGCACTTCTCTCCCGAATGGAGGAAGCAAAGTCAGGAGCCCAGGGAATCACACCATCACACTGCAGTGGGAGTGCAGGGGAGAACTGTGTTCTATGTGGGGGTGGTGGGGTGTTGGTGGGGGGGTAGGGATGGAAACAGGGAGAGTAGGCTCACACCCAAGGGATGAAGGGGTTGTGAAGAGAAGGAGGAGGCAGCCTAGTCTGGAGTGACAGGAGGAGGAATCCAGGAAAGGGAAGGGCAGTCAGGAGAAGAAGCCCCAGGCCCTCTGGGAGCTGGATTTTCTCAAAGGTGGGGAACTAGCCTGTGTGCGTGCTTCAGGGAACCACACAGGGAAGAAAGACAAGGAAGACAGGAAATGGGTGAGTGAGTGACAGAGCAAAGCTTGGAGGAAGGGGGAGGAGAAAGAATCAAAAAGGCTGGTAAGGATGAGGCTCCCCCATTACCCTCACACAGGAAGGGGGTGAAGGCCTTGCAAACCCATAGCTCCCTGTGACCCTGCCACCGGGTGGGGCCTTCA